ATAAACTCGGAAACAAAATTATATATGTAATAGGTTACAAATGCTAATTGTGGATGCTGATGAAAAACTTTGAATGTCTAAAAAAAGATTGGTATAAGAAAAAGAATTGGTAGGAGTGTCGAGTTTATTCAAATTAGAGGTACCATGAAAACAATAATAACAACAAAGAAGTCATGGCTAGAATTAGTGAGGGAATTTAAAGGTGAAATAATTAAGGAATTTGCTTTTGTTTGTGCTAAATAGGATATGTGCACAGATTTACTATATATGTGGGATGAATGAGTTGTTATTGTTGATTATAATGGTTGGTGGAATTCACGAAGTTCTAGCATGTCTGCATGGTGGTTAAAGAAAAGGGTTTTTCATGAGTTTTGGGGTATCCTTTTTCCACGTTTTGCTAAAGATTTTTTTTTTTTTCAAAAATGGATATAACAAAATTAAGCATAAAAAGCCTAAGATTGTTCTCATTATATTTGGTTCTGAGATTTATAGGTTGAAACCTCTTTGGAGAAATGAAAATTTTTTCTCCAAGTGATATAACCAACACTGGATAGCTGATTATCGAATTAGAGAGTACAAAACATTCCACCATTACCATAATGGATGAAGACTTTTTAATAGGTAAGTCAGATCTTTAAGAAACTAAACTTCTATCTGGAAGTGTTTGTTCCTTTCAGTATCTAATTTATTAGAAGCTGAGTTAGCACCTAAGGCTAATACCTATGAAAATGGTTCACATTCAGTTTTACTTAAATATCCTTTCCCTTGTCTTATCTATGCAGCTCTGGTGAATATATACATGAAACTTCTGTTACTCTGCCTTTTCTCTTGTGAAACTAATTTATAATGATAAAGATTAACTCATAGATGTTGCTAAAATGATTTCAGTATTCGAAGATTGCTTTAGAACAGCTTAAATAGTTTCATATGATGCTTCTTATTTCATTTCTAGGTGAACTCAGATGGAGCAAAGGATGGATCGAATGGTTTATATGACCAAATATGCAATGCACGTTTGCCTAGAGGACTTGATCCACATTCTGTTCCATCTGAAGAGCTTGCAGCTTCCTTGGGGTAGAGTTTTACTTGCTTATCGATTCTTCTGGTTTTGGATCTCAATTGTTTCTTATTTGAACTCTTTAGAGAAATCTAGTTGGATTCTCAATATCATGTCAAAAACACTTATCAGAATGTTCCATTATCTTCATTTTACCTCCATTTTGTGCCTCGTTGCATTATGGCTCCGCTCCGTAATATGGGTTGTCTATATTTTTTAGATCACTTCTCTCTGCTGTGTATTTATTTGAGGTTGTAAAAAAAAAATTCATGCTACTGTTAGTGTTTGTTGCTTTAATATTTGGTGACCCAATTGAGTGGGCTATTTTGTAGTTTGGTTTATGAGTGAGTTGTCATATGTATTACAGCTTTATGTGCCACTGCTGTATGAGCTTACTTGATTTTTGCCATCTTCAATTTTGTTTCATTGCACTACTTTCTCATATTATGGTATTACATCCTCAATGGTGCATAGTTGAGGTTTGCCTCTCAGAATACTTCTGAAGTGACTATAAAGTCATTTTTTATGCTTTTCAAACAGGTACATGGTCCAATTGTTAAATCTCGTTGTTCCAAGTTTGGCTGCTCCAGCACTACACAATTCAGGTTTCGCGGTAAGCTACATTGTTTGCCAATTAGTATTAGCGACATCTACAATTCATTTGTTAGGCAGACAAGAAGGCCCAATTAATTTTACTCTGGTTTCATATTTCACACCTGAAAGTGATTAGTTAATGCAATATAACTTATATAAATATATTTTTCTTGACAATGAGTTATGTTTACCATTCATCATTTCTACAGAATGGTAAGAGGTTTTACTTCATGTTGTGCTCTTCTGTGCTAAATTTCCTGATTAATGAACTATGTTCATGAGCTAATGAATTTAGTGGGCTGTATTGTTGCTTATTTTATACCTTTGAAAATCTGCAACAATGACTTGCTTTCTGGATGATATATTTATCGTGTTCATCATGTTGTTCCTTTTCTGTTGTCAAAATGAAAGAACATGACAAGAACTTCTGGTCTTTATATGCCACTGCTCTCCATTATCATTGTGCTTTGATCTTGTTGTTTTGTCTCTCCAGGGTTCCTGCTCACGTATATGGCAACGAGATTCATATTGGGATGCTCGCCCATCTTCACAGAGGTATTGCATTGCAAGGAGCTTTTATCCTATTTATTACAATAACATAATCACACTACTTTTGTAATATGCAGCAAGGAATATCCACTTTTTATACCACGCCAGAATTTCTGCTCTTCCAGTGGGGAAAATTCATGGTCTGATAGAAGTTCCTCTAATTTTGGTGTTGCTTCAGTGGAGTTAGAAAGAAAGCCTTGTTTAGAGAGTTCCAGAAGTAGTAGCTTCAATTATTCCTCTGCCTCACCACATTCTTTTGAGACTCACAAGGACCTGCAGAAAGGGATATCACTTCTCAAGAAAAGTGTGGCATGCATCACAGCATACTGCTATAATTCATTATGTCTGGATGTGCCCCCTGAAGCTTCTACTTTTGAAGCATTTGCTAAATTGTTGGTTGCTCTATCTTCTTCAGGAGAACTACAATCAACAAGAAATTCATTGAAGATGGCATGCTCAAGGTAATTCATTTAGTCTTTGTACTGCAATTTTGTGAAACTTGATGTCGTTCTTTTCTTTGGCCACATATTGCAGTCACTATTGCTTGTAGGTTCCTTGAATTGTGCAATAGTTTGACCAATGAACTGTGACTTGGACTGCTTAATAAATGTATATATTAACTAATGACAGTTTATCGTAAGGTCCTGGGTCCGAATCCTTATTCCTTGAAATATTTAGGAGCAATTTCATATGTATTCTACAAACATTAGAAATTATGTATTATCACATCTCTCGTTAAGAGTGTATATATATGAGACGGGCAAAATAAAGAAAATTTCATGTACCCCCTGTAAGGTAGTATGATGATTTTTTTTTCTATTTAAAATTTGTCATAATGTACCTTTTAAAGGGTAAATATGAAATTAGCTTCTTCAATAGGGGTACATATGAAATCTAGCCATGATGAACCCCATTGACATTTCTTTATTGAGCTGTCCTGTCAGTTACATGTATAGTTGCAATAATGTCTTTTGTGTGATGAAAATTGTGTATTTATCATACTTCAATATGTTTTTGTATTGTATCACCTTGTTGTGGTCTTAATGTCTCGCTAGACATCTAAATCAGGAATTAGAAATTGTTAACTATTATTTGAATTTCATGTATTTATTCAATTGGCAAATAATGCAGTTTAGTGACAAAATGATGTGTGCTCTTCTGTGGTTTGTGAACTACTCTTAAGTCCACAGTATGCATACCTCGTGAAGCATACAACATGTTGCTCTTTAGTGGATTTTGTACTTTTTATGATTGTTCTATCTGCATCATTAAAACTGAGAATCAGATCATTGTATTCTTAGTCATCTCTATCTTTCCGTACATGCATGTTCATTGAGATACCATCCATCAACTTTTTACATGAATGGTAATTTTGTTTAGCCAATCGGGCCATTGACCCTCTTATTTTTGCTCTGAATGACATGGCAAAAAAAGCTTCCATTTGTAATCTTGGTCTTGAGCAGGTTAGGATTCAATATCTAAACTACCACTTGTAACTGGTGGCAATAGTTGTGGCTGAGCACAACTTCATCCATCCATTTGCAGTTCTAAATGGTTGTCAATTTTTTTTTTCATTCCGGTGGTCTATGGGTGTCAGGGATGATGATATAGGAATTTGGTTATAGATATTGGCATCAAAAGCAACCTAAAATAAAATCCTTGTCAATTGTTTTGTACGTATACCAAATTGCTGTTTCCTATATTTTATTCCATTGTATGCATACCAAATGGAAGGTTGGAGGCAGATATTTGCAGTAAAAAAGTCATTTTATGTCATTACCAGTTGTATCACTTTTTTTTTCCCATTACTGATTGCCATCATTGATTCAAAGTTTTCTTTTATTGGCTATGCAGACCAGAAAAGCCAGCCCGGCAGGTGAAGAGATCATCAGTGTGGAATGTAAATTCAGGGGCTACATCAAGCTTGGTTGACAGCATGCAGACAACGATCATGGTGAGGCCAACTGCCTGTAATCTTTATGTGCTATGTCTACTGTCATGAGTAATTTACCTAACAAGTTCACTCTGTTGATCAGCCAAATGCTCGTGGTAGCAGCCACCTTGCGAATTCTGACACTAGTTTTCTCTACTCTGCTGAGATGACTGAACTCGGAAAGTCGGAAAGCCTTGTGGAAGAATGGGATATTGTGGAATGTCCTACACTTCCTCCACCACCATCACAAGTGGAAGATGTCGAACACTGGACGCGGGCTATGTTCACAGATGCCACAAAGAAATAGCAACATATAATGTAAATATGTAAATCTTCTTCAGGTCATGTGGCTAAATGGACCTGCAGTTCTTTTGCAGCGAAATTGTCAGATCGAATTAGGATACTTTAGGTTTAACACTGTGAGATTGACCTTCCATTCATGTATCAAAATATGCAGAATGACAATTTGTCTGTGGTTCATGCTATCAAGTTCTGATGAAATAATAGTGCTGATTACAATGTAATGTAAAGTTGATCCAAGTGTAAGTAGTGGCATGAAAAAGACAACTAAGAAGGCATTGTCTCATGCTAGATTGGATCATTCACAATAGACAAATGTGCACTCATTAAAAATCTTTACTCTTTGTGAGGAAACTTACTCGATAGTGACCGGTACACCGGCAATGCCAAAACAGTGCAACATTAGATGAGAGAACAACAAAAGGTATGTGATGTTGATTCCGATGGAGGAACCCTTTCTCTGAGCACCAACAGTTGGAATACAGAGAAAGAGAGAGAGAGAGAGAGAGAGGAGGAAGGAAAACCTTGCGCATACACATCAGAAGCACGGCCTATATGCTTTCTACCTGAGGAAAAGTCGCCACGACAATTTAACGCTGAGATGTCGCTGATACAATTCCGGCAAACACTAATCTTGCTGTGACGATCGAGAAGATGAAGTGTTCTGAAACCCTAATAACAGCAAGGACATACGACACAACTTAATTCCGTATACAGAGCAACCTTTTGAATCCAGAGATTGATGAAACAGATTAAAGCGCTCCATCATGCAATCAGATTGATGGTCCGCCACAAAGAACAGAAAGATAAATCCATCATCGTCAAGCTTGTTTACCAGATCATCCACGAAGAAGAAGGCCTCGCGGCACTTAGAAATCTCGTCGATTCTTTCAAGAATCGTTCTCGGAGACGACGACAACGAAACCGAGCGATGCAGGAAACAATGATCGATCTAAGACAAGGGCGGACATGGTCAATCGAAACCTCCCCTCTCGATGCTTCGATCGAGGAAAAGCGTCGCCTCCCGCCATTTAGCGTCTGCAGCAACGTGGGGAAGGGTGGGAGGGAAAACTAAAGAGAAAAGGAAGAAAACACCAAAGGGTACGATAAATCGCCAGTGCGCTTACCGGGTGCCACCCAGCTCAATCGGAGTCCCAAAAACAAATTTTATGTCGTCAAAACCGTCAAATTCCGTATTCTTAGAATCACCTGCGGTGACCAGAACTGTTAGACGTTACGTGGAGACTCCGGCCAAATAGAAGACTAAATTGAATGGGATACGATCACTCTCGGTTGGCATACCGAATAAAAGTCCGCTCTCAAAGCCCCCCAAAAAAATTATTTTGGTGTCCAAACCTTCAAATTTTGTGTTCTTACATTCACCTCGGGTGACGGGAACCTATCAAATATATATATATATATATATACTCACTATTCCGATAAAAAAGAGCTTTTCAAAACATAAATCGTAGCCTTATTGGCTAACTAATGACCCATCAATCAAATCTATATATTTTGTGAGAATTGCCATGAAATCTTCTAACCATAGATCGTGGCATTCTGTGTATGATCCAGTGGCAGTTCAACTGAAATGATGGTGAGTCCCAGTGTTCGCCTGTGAGAGAAAAGTTTTGAATTCAATTACTCTTTTCATTTACAATCAAATTGATTGGTTCTTCCTGTTTATATAAAAAATAAACTTTTATTATCTTTTCAATTATATGCAATTAGATTCTATTTCTTTTATAATTTAAATGCGACTCCTTAGACTACTAAGATTGCATATGATTCGTACTTGCTCTGTGATATATATATATACAAATATTGTTTTATATTGGTTTGGGTGGTCCTCTACAACATTAATACGTACTTATTATTGTAGTCAACATGGGAATATATTATTAATATATTCTCAGCTAAATAAATGGTTTTGTTTGTTATCTTTTTTATAGTTCAAATCTTTTTTAATGTTGATGTTAGAGAATAATTCTTTTGCACCAACCAGCGGACTCATAGGTGGGGAAAGATCTAAACGATACAATAGGGACTGGTAGAAGATGAAAAATATCAGCTAATTTAACTGAAAGATTTTAATTGTTTATCACAAGATTCGGGGAACAAATTTGGCTTTCTCCACTTACCTTTTGTCCCCCCCAAAAAAACACTTGCAGAAGATGAAAACAGAGAAAATAATTGAACAAGAACATGTCCTAATTGAGACAATTTTTTTGACAAGCTCGAATGACATTTGCTCAGCTTTCTTTTTTCTCCTCAATTTGGAGAAGAAGCTACATTAGCATCAACCACCAGGAAGTGTCTCAAGTGATTTACCAGATTTGTTGCTGAGCAATGGAAGCCCATTCTTTTGCCTTCCTGATCAAATCGACAGGCTTCACAAGCGCGAAATGGCATAGTCAAGTGCGTCGACCAAGAAATCTGAATTATCAGAGTGACACCAATTAATCCATGAATTATATGGTCATACGAAAGGGTTAATGACCTGCTAATTAAGGAGCAATGAGAGTACCTGCATCCTGTTTGGTGAAGCACATCGGCGGCTTTATTCTAAAAACATTACCATGAAGACCTCCTTTCCCAACCAGAACTCCCAGATCTGTATACAAGAAGGATTAAGTTTTTCGATAGCAACCGGGAGGATAAAATTTGCACAATGGAGATTTGTCCTACTTGAAACAGAAGATAATATAAGAGAGCCTACTAAGCCAGAATCATACCCTTAAGCTTCTCAAACAAGACTGCTGCCTCTGCCTTGGCAGGTGTCTTGTCCTTATCGGATACAAGTTCTACTCCCAACATCAATCCCCTGCCTCTGACATCTCCAATGACTGAAAAGCAGCAAGTGAGAAATGAGAAGATAAAACATTCTCTGAACAATGCACTGTACAGACAATCCTTTTTTCTGTGTTCTAGGTAACAAGATACTGAATACTGTGTCATAGAAATCAATGATCAAAACATTAACTCATGATTGTCCTAGGTAACTTTTGATTCAAGGCTCTAATTACCTTTTTTAACTCATGATTGTCCCTAGACTCTGTTCATATAGTGCATGTTAGGAAATCATTAAGTAGAAAAAAGACAAACAGCATCAGTTTTAGTCTAGATATATCAAAACATAACATGGAAAAACAGAATATTCTGAGTTCGAAAGCAGAAATTTGAAAGGCATCGAAATTTAACTGTCATGCTTTTGCTGAAGGGTTCTCAGCCGATCTATCAATTGGAAACCAACATCGGCGCAATGTGCTTGACGCTTTTCCTTGTCCAGAACCTTGAGCACAGCTAGTCCACCAGCAGAACATACCGGATTTCCGCCAAAAGTGTTGAATTGGATTCTTTTGGACATCACACTTGCTATTTCAGGAGTTGTGACAACTGCTCCTAGTGGTAGGCCATTGCCAATACCCTGTGAAAATCATCAAACAGAAAAGAACCAAGTTCTCTGATTCTTTATGCAAAAGTGTCGATGCCATATTAGGCGAAGTCTTTTAGAACCAATTGTATGCATTATACTTGATGAATTTGTTACTACCACAGAAAATACTGTTTGTTAGAGGAGGGAGTGATGTAAATTGTTCGCTTCAAGGGAAAAAAGAACAACAATGTATGTGAGAAAAATCTTTTACCTTTGCCATTGTGACAATGTCGGGAATGACACCCTGCGTCTCAAATCCCCAATAATGGCTTCCTGTCCTGCCAAATCCGCTCTGAACCTCATCTGCTATGCAGACTCCACCAGACTTCCGAACGATATCATATACCAACTTTAGGTACCCTGGTGCCAATTCAACAGCACCTCCAACTCCCTACAAACATTTGGAAGCGAAAAATGTTAAGTTCCAAGTTGCTGGAATAAAGAATAAGGAGCATCCTTGAGGAAAAAAAGAATTACAACTTTCCAGCCACTCTGCAAACTGAGCAACCCTGACCTGAAAAGTTTCTGCAATAAAGCCTGCGACATTTCCAGAAGTACCATAGTTAATATGGTCTTCGACTTCTTTTGCATAATGAGCTGCATCAGAGCCAAATGCTCCTCGATAAGGGTCAGGGTTCATAACATGATGAATCTCACCCTGTAAAGTTTTGTGCGAAAAGAACGGGTCTTCAGGCACACATGCATGTGAGAGAGAGAGAGAGAGAGAGAGAGAGAGAGAGAGAGAGAGAGCATATCATTTAGAAAATCTTTTTAAAATAGCCAACCTGAGGAATTGGGTATTTCCAAGTATGCAAAGCTGTCAGTCCTATTGTACCAGCACTTCCACCATGGTATGCATTTCTCAAGGCAATCATGCCTAGATTCCCAGTATACATTCGAGCCATCAACATTGCTAATTCATTTGCTTCAGTCCCTGAATTGACGAAATACACAACCTGCATTTCTCCTCAAAATAAACGAATATTAGCATATAGAAACAAGAGTGTACAGACCATTGTCTTACTTTCATTGGCGGTAGCCAATTCTTTGGGTTATTACAAATCCACATGATTGACATGCAAGATCATAAAAGTTCAGACCATGTTAATTACATGTAATTAAAATGTTTACAGAAGTAAGCACTATTAAGTACCAGCCAATTATATCAATTTTAAATAGCATCTGAGCAACCATGATTTCTTGCTTTTCATAGCCATTCCTACATGAAAAAATAGTCATCTTCTGCTAATGCTACATACATAGATTAGCTAGCAGTTGAATATAATCTAAAAGAGCTGGCATAAAGTACCTTAAGGTTGCCTGGCATTTTCGAAGCTAGAGCTTCAGCAAACTCAACGATGGCATGATGCAAATAAATGGTGGTGGTGTGCTGGAGTAACTGTGACTGCTCCACCACCGCGTTCACCACATCAGGATGACAATGCCCGCAAGATACCGTGACTATGCCGGCGAAGGCATCAAGATAACGTTTTCCGGTCTCGTCATAAAGATACTGCATTTTCCCTTCCACAATATTCAGCTGAAAAGGAAAAAAACAATCCTTTAGGTTTGGCAAAGAAATTTCATCTATTAAAACAAGACAGCTGAAGATATGCAGAAATTCTAAGCGGAGCCAAAAAAAGGAGAAAGCAAAAGATCCAAAAGAAATATATTTATACTAAAAGAATGGCAAATGAAGCAGATTAAGATGGTGAACAATCATTATGCGTTGAGGGAGACATGCGGGCCACATTTGTATGATTCGAGATGTAATCTCACTGAAAACTAAGAAACTAGTCGGGATCTGAAGCGCATCGAGGCAAAAATGGGATCCTAACAAGAACCCAAATCGAATGCTACGACGTCTGGAGAGAGGACAATGGACGGCAGAGAGATCGGGACAAGAAATTACTGGCTTCTGGTAGTAATAGAACAGCGATGGTCCAAGAAACTTCTTCCGCTTCTCGAGGACCTCATCGGCCAGCATCCCCTTGTACGGCCGCGGCTGGTGGTCGAAGGGGGGCAGCGACGGCGACGCGGAGGAGAGGCCGCGGCGGAGAAGCTCGCGGAGCTGCACCTCCGATCGGAGGCCGCTCCGCCACAGATTGCGCCGGAGGAACATCGACGACGAGAAGGGGAATACGAATTAGGGTTGGTGCGGAGAGGGCGAGGAGGAAGCGGTGGACCCTCGCACTTCCCCCTCGTCTGATACTAATTGGCGCCATACCAAAGGCAATGCACATGGGAGGGTTTAAGAGGAGCGAGATCATACTTTAGTACCCTGGAACAAACCCGATTTATTATTGGAGGATAGCAAGGAGGTCCCACATGGAATCCCGATGGTTGGACACTGACCGGTGCGAAAACTTTGGCGCTCGTATAAAAGGATTTGCTGATGAGCTGGAGATTCGGCAAGTGGGACCTTCCCACGTCAGATGCGGCGCTTGGGTCATAGGATTGGCTGCATCGAGGGAACAGCTTTCTGTAGGAGTAGATTATGTACACCTGTTGACACAAGTGGAAGGCAACTCTTATCACGTCGTGATAGAAGATGAGTGCGGCTCACACGGAAAAGACGGGGATGATTGGAGTTAAATTATTATTTAGTAACACAACTAATACAAGTGGGGGCAATTTATTAGTATTATTATTATTATTATTTTATTTTTTTTAAAACCACGTCATTTGTTTTTAATCCAATTTTTAAAAGCATAAAAATCAATTTTATTCTTATAAAATATGTAAACTAATTCAGATCAATTCAATTCAAATTCAATTTTCTCCTCGTTTGTCTTCTTTAATTCCTCTTCCTTTTTTTCTTTTTTTATATCTCTTCCTTATAAGTTAATTAAAATTGCCCTTCGTTATACTTACAATTGAATTGAAACACATTCATGCATAGAATATGTTTAAAAATTATACAAAAATAATCTTAAATTCATCGTAAAATGAAAAACTTAGTAGTTATCCGACTGGTGCACACTAACTCATGTCGGCTGTTATCAAGAACTATCAACAACAAGATTATAAATAGTATCAACGAGAAGTTCTCGGTAGCATTTATATTAAAGAAGAAAGGGCCATCAGCTACGATCCAAATAATCCTGCCAAACAATTATATATTCAAGAAAATCCCACAACATAATTAGAAATATTAACTACAAACAAATATGCTCCAAGGTAGCAAGCAAAATAGATGAGAGTGTTAAGGGATGAAAGATGCTACACATCCTGCCTGCCACAAGTTGTTCAGAAACAGGGACCCCAAGAAATGGGGGAAGGGGGAGCATAAAAATTAGTACAAAGAAAGATGAGGTTTTCCAACTCAATCGACCACACTCTTACCGCTATCAAATCAACCAATGGCTGAAACTGGTTACACTAAATTGGACAGAAACCTTGATTTTGCAAGGCCTGGGAGCCCAAAAAAAAAAAAATATTGGGGGAAAAATGATTCCAGTTACATGTACAAGGGAAGGAAAAGAAAAAGAATCTCACATTGTTATGGCACAGAGATCTTGAAAGACGGTCCTAATGTTAGGCCTCTCGTTTACAGGGAGAATGCACCTAAGTGATACAGCAAGCAGTTCATCCATCACCCTTGGACATTCCTCCAAGCCTGTGATATCTCTATCGAAGCAGTCCGTTCCCCTCCCCTCTCTGTTGCACATCTGAACCCAATCTGTCAGATCAACTGCACCTGTCTGGCCCGAGATAATATCACCAGCACTTCTTCGGGTTAGCAGCTCCATAAGTATCACCCCAAATGCATACACATCAGCCTTAAATGACGGGAATGGCTTGCTCGCACTTTGTAGCTCAGGTGCCCGGTACCCAAGTGCTCCCAAGTTTAATATATGCTCGGCAGTCCCACCTTGTGTCGTGAGACGATGGAGGCTGTAATCTGTCAATCGAGCAGTGAGGTCTGGGCCAGTCAAGAGGATATTTGTCGGTTTTAGGCTTCCATGAGCCAAGCCCTTCTCGTTATGGAGGTAATACAAAGACCGAGCCACATCAATAGCAATTTTTAGCCTTTGGCTTACTGAGAGGCGGGAGTACCTTCTAGGTGTTGATTCTACAGAACAACACAGTTAAACCAAAGAATAAGATACTCACACACCAAAAGAACAACTAAATTATGAATGACAAGTCCTAGTATGAACATAAATCATATGTAGCTATGTTAACAAGCAATGCAGCACAAAACAGAGTGGTTATTCTTCTAAAACCAAAAAAAATTCAAACAAAAAAAAGCTGAAAAGTGAAAAGGCCAAACAGCAAAGCACAAGACGGAAAATTAATAGTAATGGAAATAAAACAGAAGATAGCTCCTAAAAGAGGATACCAAGATCAGGTATAGACCTATCTAAGGAGGGAGTGGTGGGTTATGCTTCATAAAACAAAACAGAAAAGAAATAATGATTGATTTCTGAACCACAGACATTTACACATCTTGGGAGGAGATGAGGATCATACCAAGATGCATAAAACTTTCGTCTGTATAAACATAGCAAAATCAAGGGCTATGGGTATTGCAAGATATCTTACTCACATTTGTAGGTACTAGATGCCTTCTGCTGATAAGAATATTGAGAATTTAGAATTCACTATTTAGTTTTTGGAGATCTACCTTCATAGCAAATGAATCATCAATTACATTATCTAAACTAGAACAGTGACTAGATGAATATATTAACTGAAAAAAAAAGTCTGCAAGTAAGAAGAATGCAATTAGCAAATCTTTTAGGTTGCCACATATTGCGGGACCCCCCAAAAAAAAATCCCATCAGAGTTTTTATATACAATATGGGACAGATACTTGAAACAGATGACATACATAACTAGGACAAGAATTGTGATTCAAAGATGCAAAAACTAGACAGGCCATCGTGGGATCCTTCACAGGCTATATAGACTCAAGACTTCATATAGCCTGCAGAATTCAATTAAAGTTTGTAAGAAGCAACTGAAAAATACCATCCCTCGTGATTTATTAGCAGTTCCTCAACAGGCTCATACTTCATAATTAATTTCTACATCCTGATTATGGCTGTTCTGACAACACCATATCAAATTATTTGTTTCCACACCACATTTTGTCCCAAGTTTGTCTATAATACACCATCTCACATGCTGTATTTCCTCAATAGACAATATATTCAGTCTAATTTGTCCTTTTAGTTCGTTCATATTCAACAACTTGCAGCAACCATGTTGCTGAAAAGAACTAAAAAGAAAGCAAGACCATGTTGTGATCAAACAAAAAAGAACTTTTCATTACTGAGTCCCTTTTCAAGTCTATTCTAAATAATTTCTTCTTATCCTTCTACTCAACTGACACTTAACAGAATCTGGCAGGCATGTGCTCCCTGGAAAATGGACTATATAGACTTTTGATTAATTTCACTTATCGATTATGAATAGCATTAAGCCATCTATAAATTTCATTTATCATGTGACTTGAATTGGATCAAGTAGCATTGACATTTTTCATACAATGAACAAATCTACTTAACCTATGGTATGCAGTTAAGAACTCTGACAGAATCAGTAGGCATTTTTGAAACTTTGGGTCATCACTAATTAAGACTTCACCAGCAAAATTCACCAATTATATGTCATCTAAAACACTATTTTCCTTGTAGAAGCACATTTACAATGAAGGTTTCAATCTTAATTTCTTTAGAAATTTATAGTAAATTAGAATGTATTGCTTTACACCTATTTGGCCACAAGTACCCAGTTATGGGCTATTTTGATATAAATAGTGTTGATGTAACTTTGCAAAATCATTTAGTGGTCCCATTTACAGAAGCAATAAGATACTTGAATATTGATAAAACATAAACTAACTTCAAGATTTTGATATGGTATAAGGTTGACATGAAATTGAAGGGGAAGTTCATAGGGAGAGTCAAAGAAGCAACAGTATTACCAGAGAACCATAGAAGACATGTAGCAATCTAGTAATGATATCAATATCAGGAAAGCAGCTGAAATGGGATCAAGTTACAGAAAGTCTTACCATAAAGATAAAGTGCCAGACTATCTCCATTAACATAATCAGAAATAATCAATCTCTCTTGCTCCCTTGGGCCCCAATAATAGGCCCTCCAAGGGATGATATTAGGATGTTTGATGGTTCCAATTCTCTTTGCTTCTTTAGCAAATTCTTTTTTGATTTTGACAAGGCCAACTCTTAACCACTTCACAGTCAAAATGTGACCACTATCAAGGGTTGCTTTATAGGAAGTCCCATGGCTGCTTCTACCAAGAACTTCTGCAGGGGCACGAGATAATTCTTCAGCTGTGAAAATCAAAGAGTTGTCCAGGAAAAAAAGTTCTCCAGCCAGTCGGTCCGGTGAATAGACATCTAACATCACTGATTGCTCAGATACACCCAAATCAATTAAATGAGGTGAAGAGCCTAATGGTGACCCTGGAGAAGATCTCTCTCCTGTGGTACAGGTCGCAGGATGATTCTGCAGCACATTATTTACCGTAGATTCTGTCCTGTGATCAGAATAACCACATTCGACAGCTTCTGTTAATAACTCCTTGTGTGCAGCCACTGATCTGGTAGCTGATGTTAAGAGATGATCATTCGAGAAACTCATCGAATTGGTCGCAGGAGTATCTTTTGAAGATTTAAATATCTTACGACGACCAAATCTCCCAAGTTTTACTTCCATTCCAGTTGCCTGATCTCTAAATCGATTCTTTCCACAAAGTTCTTGGGTCCTTATCACATATAATGCCATTAATGCAAACAAAATTAACATGACAGCACCAATAGAGCCAACAATAGATGCAATTCGAACACTATACTTCATATGATGATGACTATCACCGCCTTCACCGTTACTTCCTGAAGTCATGCCGTTGGGAGAAACCAGTAAATTATTTCCTGGATAAAATGCGGTGCTTGGGAACCTCTGCAGAGTTTCTGGTATAGTGCCTGATAGATCATTGTAGGAAACATTGAAAACATTCAGACCTGACTGAGGCATGTCAGGTATTCTACCCCTAAAATGATTCATCGATAGGTCAAGTATTTCCAAAGTGCCAAGCTTGCTTAGCTCACTGGGCAACTCTCCAGATAAGGTATTGTTTCGAAGAATGAGCAACTTAAGTCTTTGCATGTTACCAATTTCTGGAGGCAATGGACCAATTAATAAGTTATTAGATAAATCAAGACTCTCCAGATGACTATAAGAAGGAAGAACAAGTGATTCGGTTGAATGTGAACTTTGAAGTGGAATAATTCCAGAAAATTGGTTCCCTGAAAGATTCAAGCTAATTAAGGTTAAGGATGTGAAAAGTCCTGGCAGAACTGGTCCTGAAAGTCTGTTTAGACTGAGATCAATTATGGATAACTCAGGATAATTTCCTAAGGTAGAAGGAAGAGAGCCAACCAAAGAATTATTTCGAAGTCTTATGGATGTCAGGTTCTGAAGTTGAGATGCCTCAGGATAGTTCCCAGACAATGAATTTGAGCTTAAATCAATAATTGCTAATGTAGGTTCCCAGCTCTGCATCACAGATAGACCACCAGAGATATTGTTATTACTAAAATCCACTGATATGCATACCCCTATGCTTGACGGCAATAAACCTGATAGCATATTCGAGGACAGATTTAGAAACTTCAAGGATGTAGAGGTGATATCCCTAACATTACCTGCAAAAAAGATAAACATGTTAATCAGCTGATCTTGGAATAACAAACTGGAGCAGTGTGTAAAAAATGTTTACTAAAACAAAGAAAACCATTTCAGTTGATAATTGTAAATACAAAAGTTAGCATTTGCACCATAAAGGAAAAGAATTAAAACCATCCTCCGCATTCCTGCCATTTGATTTTTGTACATTCCCCAACCACAACCAAATGTGCATCTTACCACGTTGGTTTTTAGTTGTTTCTTTCATTCCCCAAAGCAGGGTCTGAGTTACATGTGATAATCAACAAACAATAATTGCATGGGGAATCTGGGTCAAATCTACAGCCCATGGGCATATCAAAGGCCCAAAATAATAATATCAAGTGACATACATCACCCTCTAACCATACCTTATCCTTTAAGCCCTTTTGTTCCCCCATCATGCTTCACTTTGGTCATTGTAGATTTTACTTTATTTTTTCTTCTTGGACTATGGCCCACATCACCCTCTAACCATATCTTATCCTTCCCAAGTCATGTATTTTTCTTGACATGACAATAATTGCCGAATTATTAAATAACTTGGCCTGTATTACATTGACTTAAAGGACTCAATATCTAGGTTCTAATAGACCAATCCACGATCCAATAAAGTTCAACAAACCCTATATAATTCAGGAAAGAGAACCTCGCTCCAAACATAGAAATAGGTCTTACAGTAGGACTCCTGTAACTGTATTGCTGTTGTTTGCACCATGTTAAACCAAATGAAGCAAAATACCGCTACAGAAAATACTGATGAAACAATATCTCCACTTAAACAACCTTTTTCTCTAAATGCAATATATATTAAGACGGCATAACAAAGACCATTCACTTTCATTTGGATGCAAGGATGTGATCTTCCAAAAGGGATTTTCCCTTCCCTACAAGGTAAATTACCTTAAAGAGTAGTTAGTGACATTTTTTCCCTAAGAAATTTACCATCTCTACTAGTACTATCCAGTAACAGAGGTCTATCAGAAGCAATGGTTGTGCAAGTAAACAAAAGGCAGATTGTGGAGACGCTCAAGCAAGACTCCGATTATTCTACTAAGTTTCTCAAGTGCTCTTAATAGTTGCAACAGATCATAGCATATTTACCTGTAAAGCCATTTCCACTGAAGTCAAGTTCTGATAAGTGCAGGGTACTGGCAAGCAGAGCTCCCGGTACAGATCCATGCAGCTTATTAGCAACAGCCCGGAAAACTCTTAAGCTGAACACCGAGTCAAAAGACGGAAGTTCCCCACTCAGTTGATTGTTGCTGACATCCAAAGACTCCAAATTCTTGAACGCTGGTATAGCATCATTCGAAAAGAAGCCGCCGCTGAGCTTGTTATTACTCAAGTTCAAGTACTTGACCGTATTCCCCAAGCCCGTGAGGTTCTCCGCATCAACAAGGAGGTTCCCAGTGAAGTCGTTACTACTCAGATCGACATAGTCTATGTTCCTGAGCTCCGAAAGCAGCGTCCCGATGTCTCCCCACAGGCCATTGGATCTCAAATCCAGCACCCTGAGCTGCTGAAGATTCCGGATCCCGGCGGGAAACCCTTGCGACAAGTTATTCCAAGAAAGATTGAGGTAAGTCAACCCCCAAAGCTCAGTGATCCGGCCGGGAATGGGTCCGTAGAACTGGTTAGCCGAGAGATCCAAGCGCCGCAGCGAGGACACGCCGCCGAGGGCGGGCACGAGGCGGCCGGTCAAGGCATTGCCGGCGAGGCTGAGGTTCTGGAGGCGAGCAAGCGGGGCGAGAGTAGAGAACTTGAGGTCACCGACGAGGCCGAGGCGGGCGAGGTCGACGGCCACGACGCCGCCGGCGGCGTCACAGGCGACGCCGTACCACGATCCGCAGACGGCAGATCCCGCCCCGGGCTGGTTCCAGGATCCGAACACGCGGCCGGAGGGGTCGGAGGAGATGCCCTTCTTGAACTCGATGAGGGCCCTGGCCTCCTCCTCGTCCGCGACGACGACGGCGGAGAAGAAGAAGAAGAAGAAGAGGGAGAGCAGGAGGAGGGCGTCGCGGATGTACGGATCCATCTACTGCGGTATTCTCCTCTGAGGCGAGGGCTGGGCTTCAGGGAGCGGTGGAGGAAACCCTAGTCATGGAGGAAACCCTTTTGAGGAAGGAAGAGAGGAAGAGAAGTGCGTGTGAGAGAGAGAAAGGGACAGAGAGGAGTTGGGGAGGTGGCTTCAACATGTAAATTGGGTTAATTAATATTATTATGGTGAGGTGAGGAGAAGACAGAGAAAGGAAGAATAAGCAGAGCAAACAGACTGTAAAGGACTTATAATAAAACCAAATAGAACAGAAGACTTACACACCACACCCCCACATGATGGATGGGGGGATGTGTTCCTTCTCACTCTCTCTCACTTTCCATCTTTCTTCTTCTTTTTTATATCAACTCATAAACAAATGCCATTTTGCTCCCACTCACACACACATTTATTATGATTTCCAATTTAAGGGAAATTGGGAGTGATGGGCAATGACCTGTCATGATCAAAGTTTGGGAGGTGAGTCACCAAATTACTATTTTGCATGTTTATGGAAAGAAAGATTTTGGGAACAATTGATGGGTGAGAATGACAGCAAATGTGATTTTGATTCTGATGCGATTAGGTGAGGTACTAAATCAGTAGTACTACTTTGGTGGCTTGCAAGAGATGTAATGTTTGCAAGCTAAGCATGAGATGTGTTGTGGTTGGAGCCAATGGGTTGGGCTGGTCTTGTCAAAGCAAGCTTTAGACTTGATTAGATGTGTATTATACTTTCATGTGATCTTCACTTTTTATATGCACACTCAAAATCATGATGAGAATAAGACTCTAATAAGAGAGCTTTTAGCCAGTAAATATTTTGGGTGGTCAGTCAAATTTCATCTTCATCATTTACATTTATCATATGCATATATATTAATTATAAAGAAGAATCTAACATACCAAAGAACATAATAAATACTAGACCTGTGTGGATGAGCCATGGAGTCTTCTGGTAGATTAAGTAGAGAATTGGGAAGAAGATAAGTAGAAGAGGATGTTGCTTTGGAGAACTTATCTTCAAAGTTATGAGAATAAATGAAGCACCTCAGGCTAGCTTTTTCCCAAGACCTGCCACTGCTCAAGAAAGAAACAGCTTTGGCACACAAAGACTGGCATCTTCTCCATGTGCCATCCCACATGCCATCTATCATTCACTCCACAGAAATAAAATTAGGGGGTGATGGTGGCCTGTGTCTCTGTGTGTGTGTGGGGGGGAGGGCACATGTGTGCAGGCTGCAGGAACTTACTTGGCCTGGGGTTGACCTGTCCTTTGATGACTTCTTTGCAGGAGGTATCTCTCTACTCCTGTGCTTTCTCCATTGCTTTGCAAAGCCCTGTTGAAGGCTACTGGTTTCTGCTCATCTTGTGTCCCACACCACAAGCAGAAACTCCTCCTTGTTCATTGTCCCATTTGCTGTGGAACTGATTCTAAATAGGTAGATGAGTTGCTGTGGAACTTTTCCTTTTGTCGGCAGGATCTATCTTGATTCCTTGAGCAGCTGTTAGAGAACAACCACTAGGTCAATGCAAACTAGTTTAAGTGCATAAAATTAAGTAGAACATGGATTATAACAATCATGCATAGTGCACATGATTTACCACACTGAGATTTTGGTTTAAGAGAACAGATTACAGCAAAGAGATTGAAGAGCAGGCAAGATAGTTCTTGCATAAGTGGATAATAATAATAAAAAAAAAAGAATGAGATTTTTGCTCAATATATGGATGGAGAGCACTGGAGAGGGCTGCTTTCCAGGTCCCTTAAGATGTCTCTCACTAAGTCCTCCTCATTTTGCACGTAATCATCAAATTTTCATATCTAAATTTAGTCAAACTCAATAAATAAAGCAGTTTTAGATGCATCTAAAGGCTATTACACCACTAAGACAGGACTGCAGAGAAGCCAACTCCAGCAGCAACATCAACAAGTTATATGAGACATACATGAAAGGGAGTTGATTCTGAGAGGGATTTTTGGTCCTCAGAAACTCCCAAATGTGGAGCTATAGACTGAACAGCTATATTTTGTATGCTTGTAGAAAGATCAATGGAATCAACCTAACAATTAATAATTCTGTTGTCACATTTACATGGCTCAAGTCACATATGAACAGAGAACACTGCAGCAGAGCATTGCTTTTCAGTGAACATTATAATGCAATTATTTAGCTGCCTGAAAACCATAAATTTGTTTTACAGATTAGTAGTCATATCTATATACATAATTAATGGAGATGCATTTGATACATTTCACCCCTTTTTTCGCCCTGAAACTACATGTAATGGAGATGTTTGGCCACAACTTTTCTCATTTGGGGTGATAAGCAGAACTTTTGAGGACTCTAAATCAATTTTCTTTTATTTCAAGTCAATGTAATCTCTTTTCTCTTATTTTTTGAGAAAAAAATGGGAAGATTATACAATATTGATTCTAAAAATTAAGAAAGGCCAATAATACCTAAGCAGAACTGGTGCCAGTATTATGTTGGAAGAAAGCTTAGACAAGAAGACAACTGCTGTAGAACCCCCAAAGCTAGTTGGGATCACTAATATGGATTTATTGGCTGAAGACCAAGCTAATCAAAAGAGAGCTGCTATTGCTTCTAGGTAACCAGTTTGCTGAACTCTTCTAAGTCATCTGCCACCCTATATTTTCTGAGAAATTACCCAAGCAAATCATGCACATGCATTTTCTATAAAACCATGAAAGCTAATGAGAGTTCAGCAATTTCCAAGAGAGAGAGAGAGTCGTTGGTAAAATTTATTTTTAATTTATGAAGGATACCTTTGCTAAGCATTTCTACTCACAAAGTTGAAAGACTGCTGCATCTGTTGAGCATCTATAAAACCTGCATCAGCAGGAGCTTTATGCATTCAATCTTTCTTCTAAATAGTGTTTAGGTGTTTGGAGAGCTTTAAGATTGCATTGTGTGCCAACCTCTTGTTTGTATAGTATAAAAAAAGAATTTAGATGTACCTGCAAAACATAAATGTGCAATAGACAAGAACTTAGACAAAACAGCTTATGGAGGAATTTGGATAAACTGGAAACTTATTGTAACAACAACAGGATCTTGTACCATGTACCAAGAAGACATGTTATGGTCTCATAAAACCTTGGTAGAGCTAACAGTAGCATTAAACAAGTTAGGACCAAAAAGGCTTTTAGATGACAGCGACACTTGCAGAATTTGATTAGCCTGCACGTGCCCAAGCCTCACCCTCTTTGAGCATTATATATGAAGTCTCAACTCAAGTGATGTGAGATGACACTAGAGAAAGGTACAGGGAACTCAAAAGTTGGGCACAGACTTGTGTACATTCTCCTCACTCCTTAAAAATAATTTAAAAAAAACCAAGGAAACACAATGCCTTTCACCAACCAAATGTCCCAAACACACAACCCCCCCCCCCCCCCCCCCCCCCTTCCAAACCTCCACCCACACAATCCCTATCTATTTCTAACATCTTTGTTCTCCCATGATCCCTCTGACTCCTGTTTGCTGATTCCATCTTGCTCCTTTTGTAAGGGTTGCTTGATTGATAAAGACCTTTCTTCCAGATCATGGTTGAAAAGGGAAATGAACCCCATAAAGGAGTACTGAGAACAACAGAAGAAAAAAAAAATATTAACATTTTCTTAGGCCTGTTTTCTAGGCCAATCAAACAACCACTGGGCTCCCAGTGTGAGAACCCTTTGAAGTCTAATTGGTTCTGGAGTTTCCCAAAGGTTTAGTATTGTCATAACCTTAACCTATGAGGCCTTAGACAGGTCATCTGAACACACCTATCTTGGTCTAAGCCAACCTTAAGCTACTTAACCTTCAAATGGAGGAGGCACCATCACTTTTGATTTTTTACTTGTGATGGTGGTAAAAGAAATGTCTCAAGCTGATGATGACACCTTCATGACAAGGAGGTTAGAAAATTAGTGGATACAGTTCTTTCATTAAAACAGGTGGTTGGAAAGTTAAATATAAAAAAACTCCTTTATGCTTGTAATAAATAAAGCATGTAAAGAAGTTTCAGAGAAAGAATTCAGCACTAGCTTGCTCAAATTTGCACACCAAGGTACTTTGGGTCCCCATGATGCTCTGGGATCTGGATTGATGACCTACAAAGATCCACATACATATTATTTCTTGCAAGTAGAGAGAGCATTTTCATGACCATAACAGGCACAAAAGAATCATCTTACCATGATAACAAAGGTCGAAGAGGTGAATTCTTTAATTCTACCACACCTGTAAAGATATTTAAAATCATTTGATCTCCTCTTGCCACACTGATATCTCTAAAGACCTTCTGGGTATTCTCGAAAATCTTTCCAAATGCTAGCAAATAGCAAGGTAGAAATAATGGTTCTAACTTGTGATAACAAGTTGAAGGAGAAACAGAGATGATGTTGGGGGGAGAAACAGAAATAATGCATGGAGAGAGAGAGAGAGAGTAAAAATACCAACACTGTGACAGCAAGTTAGAAATAATGGTTCTACAACTCATTATGTTGGAGGAGAAACACAATAGGATCATATCCATGAAGAACTAATTGAAAATAATGTGCAAATACACACAACCACTAATCTTTCAAGTATTTCAAGAACACAATTTGTTCTTAAAAGTCATTGAGAAAACAAAGTGATCTGAAAGGTTAATTTTTACTACAAGAGCTTTTGCACGCAATTTGGCTAGAAGAAAGCAACCTGTGACGAGGGTTCTCTATGTGACTAATAAAAGCTTGATGTTGATACATAGCTCTTCTTGGCAAAGGCTAAAAATTTACATTACATCCAGTAAAATATACATAGAATAAAATTACTGTAAACAATACAATGCCCCCCATATACAGAAAACAAGGAATACAAATGTGATTTCACTTGACACAGAATGTCGTTATAGGAGACATGAATGAGATAAAGAGAAGTGACCTTAGTGTGTTTCTTTCATCAATTTTGTGAAAAGGTCATCTAGGCCCAGATAGTTCCACTGGATGAAGGTTGTCAGTGGAATCTTGAATCCACTCGTTGTGATTATGCGGGGCCAACTCATCGTGCCGCACCACTTCAACCTTCTGCCATTCCTCCCACCTCTCGGCAAGACCATCTCCTTCGAGCATCCTTACCACCTCCGACATCTTGGGTCGTTCCAATGGTGAGCCCTGAGTGCATAGCAGCGCAACTTGGATAAGCGACTCCACTTCAGCTTCGATGTAGTTGTTCTGCAAATCTGGATCCACTAACATTTCCAGTTTTTTGTCTTTCAGAAGACCTTTCACCTGGAAGCAATGCAGGTATCAATTAATTAACATCTTCCCATGTACCAGAAAAGCAAAGCTGATACAAATTATGTTCATAAACAGAGCCAAATAACTAAAATTAGAAACAAATGACTGAGCAAATTTTGTTTCCAATTATGCACTAGTGATGTAGTATGAAGTTCTTATTGATCCCTTATGAGAGCTCTGTAGCTCACCAACTCAGAGTGCTGAGCTTCATGGATCAAATGATTTTATACTACCCTCGAATAAGCAGACATACTACTAGATGCCTCACTAACGTGAAAGGCGGATATACTCTACCAGTGGGTCCAAAACCAGTCTAATCATTTTCACCCTTGGATATTGACCATAGTGGAAACCTTAAAACGTGCATGATTAGATCCCAAAGTCGCTAGGAAAAAAAAAACCTAGGATAAGGTGCACTGTTCCAGACCAATCCTAATCTAATAACTGATTCCAGATTCTTCAATTTTTAAAGTAAATGTGTAAGAGAAAGATGGCTTAATGAATCATGGGAACAATGGCCAGCACTTACCCAGTCAAGCAACATGACATCATCATCATTTGCAAGCCGAGCAAGATCAAATGCTCTTTGACCTGTGATCAGTTCCAGAAGCATGATTCCATACCCAAAAACATCAGTTTTCTCAGAGGACTTCCCTGTTGACAAGTATTCTGGAGCAATATGACCTATCGTTCCACGGACAGCAGTTGTGACATGGGTATCCTTGTAGTCCATTAGTTTGGCTAAGCCAAAATCCCCTACAACTGCCTCAAACTCCTCATCCAACAGAATATTTGCAGCTTTAACATCACGATGAATAATTCTTGGATCACAATGGTCATGCAAGTAGGACAGCCCCCTTGCAGCACCCAATGCAACCCTCCGCCGAATTGTCCAATCAAGTGGTGGCTCTGATGGTGGACGTTCTGCAAATAAATATTAAAATCTCATGAGATTAAGATAACTATAAAAAAAATCCCTTAATAGAGATCTCTTTAATTGTTTGAACATTGTGATTGGTATGGCTTACTTTTTTTTCTAAAAACAGAAACATTGTTATTACTAAAATTAAGAAAATGCTTTACACTCCAATAGCGATGCAGTCGAAAAGAAGTACCTCTTAAGCATGATGCAACACTTCCATTAGCCATATATGGATACACAAGCAATCGTTCAGTAGGAGTCATACAAAATCCGCGAAGTCTAAGTAGGTTACGGTGCACAGCCATGCTAATCATCTCAACTTCAGTTTGAAACTGAAGCTCCCCACCTGGGGTGCGTTCTTCTTTTAGCCTCTTTACAGCTACAAGTGAACCATCCGCAAGCCGTCCTTTATAGACTTTCCCAAATCCACCTCTGCCTAAAATGTTCTTGTTACTGAAACTATCAGTTGCAACTTGTAATTCTCGGAGAGAAAACCTTTTAAGCTGGCCCAAATGAACTTCTGGATCCTCTTCAGCTGCATAGAAATCCCTGGAAAAATTAAATACTACAAACATGTAAACAATACATAAAACAACATTAATAACTAACCAGGCACATCAAAGAAATGTTCTTGTGGCTTGCGACGACGCCACCAGGCAAAACCAATAGCAGGTGCAGCAAACAGCAAGGCAGCACCTGCAGCAACCCCACCAGCAATCGCTGCAATGCTGGAGGCACTACTTCCTGTTAAAATGACAAGTAACAAGCTTTTAAATCTCCACTCATGATTTTTTATTTTTCATGTAGCCTAGGCCAAAGCTGACATGCACCATGAATTCTTTATGAAAACTTGAAAAGAATGCTTTCAATGGATAACCATATTAAGAACAAAAAGTCACCCATGGGCCCGATGCAGGTAAGAAATTTTACCTACTCATAATACAAAATGTCAAGTAATCCATAGATTGAAGTGCATTAGGATTCCAACCAGGGTTTTTAATTTCATACCGTACCACTCGGTACAGGCGGTACGTATTGATCCATCAGCAGACTGGCACGCGGACTGCCCGGTAGGTTTTTGGCCCCGTATAAGGTGATATAGGGCTGTACTAGGCGGTAACGGTCAAAATTTCGATCGTTACCGACCTGTACCAGGCGGTACCATAGATTTCAGCTTTTGATGTTGATTGTTAGAATTACTTGTTAAATCAGGAATTTTTGGTAGCAATTTCACATAGAACAAGTGTTGATGGAGTCTCAAAGAGGATTACTGCAACTAATTGAATTGAAATAAAAGCATAAAGCTGCTGAAATTCTAGAAACAGTACATAAAATTGTCTTAACAATGATTTCAGGAAGATAATATGATGCAAGTCATTGTCCAATACTTCAGATTTATAAATTTAAATATCATTTTCAGTTCAAACATGCAGGAATTATTGTGAGGAAAAATCAGTTTATGATAGGATGAACCATAGATTTCAGTTTTTGAGGTTGAGTCATTAGTTAACTCTTTTCTAATGACTCCATTTTTTATAAATTTAAATATCGTTTTCAGCTAAAACATGCAACTCTTTTTTTAATATTTCAGGTATTTTTAGGGGGATTTATGCCTATTTTAGGTGTATCGCTCGGTATGTTGGTACCGTACTATACTGACCAAATTTCGGTACATTGGTATGATACGAGATTAAAAACCTTGATTCGAACACCAAACCAACCAATGCACAACAATTTCAAGTATACAGGTAAATCATCTCAATCCATCTTAACTCACACAAAGTGCTTGACATAGTTACTCTAATCCCATTTGTCATGATCTGAGCAACATACTAGTGGGCCTTATGATGTAATCCAAAATGTTTAACTCATATTTCTGGTGATAAGTCAACTATGTATATTAAACCATCCTTTCTTTCATTTCTGATCATAGGATTATTTATTTCGCGTGAAGGAAATGTATAATAGCAGTGTGTCAAAAGAAGTATGGTGGAGGTAGGACCGTAGGATTGGCTACAATTAGTGGATGATGGCAATGGAAGGTGATGGGAAGCAGCACTAGTGGGCAGTTGAAGAAGGATGGTAGCTTGGGGTGGTGCAGTCAAGAAGGAAGATGAGGCAAGGCTGGCAGTACGTGAAGAAGGTGATGATTGAGGAATAGATAAAGAGCAAGAGAAGGAAAACAACTGAAAAATGATAATCTTGTACAAAACTTTAAATATTTAGATAAGATGCCTTTTCTTCGGGAACTATCTAAAGGCAAAAGGGCTTATCCAATTTAATGAGGACGTTGTGGATGAAACTATATAGTAGGGATTTTTTTCATTAATAAAAGATAATGTGGTTGTATGGGAAAAAAGAAGAAGAAGAACTCATGAAGCACGATCCTTCAAAAATATATCTTCTTCCCTCATGCCACTTCTAGAATAATGTTTCTGAAATCTGTAAATTTGTAACATCAAAGAAGGGAAATTCCCATTTAGGTACCTAGGAGCTCTAGTTGCCCTTGATAGACTCCCGGTGCTTATGATGAATCCTGGCAGCAGATTAACAATAGAATAAGTAAATGGGCTGGATTCACTCTTTCTCAAGCCAGGAAGATTACCTTGATAAATTCACTTTTATTGGCTTCCCAGGTGCTTAGCTTGAATGTGATGTGGTTGCCTAAGAAAGTTACCAGCTCCATTTAGAATTCTGATATAGATTTTTTGTGGTCAAAGCAAGATTCCCAATTTCCTACCGTACCAGAGTATTGAGCTCAGCTCAGTATGATACGGTACGAGTATACCGAGCAGTACGCTTTGACATACCGCTCGGTATATATATATAATAATAATAATAATAATAATAATAATAAGTTAAAAAAAATAAAAATAAGGGTGACGTCACCTCGTTTCTTCTCCCCGTTAAGCCTTGGCTACGTCTTCTCCCCGCGCGGATGAGGAGAAGTCACCAACGACGCCAAGGCCTCGTCGCCTCAGATGAGGAGGCGACATCTCATCTGCGACGTCCGTCGAGGGAGGGCTGCGATGGATCTTCAGATTCTCCCTTCTTTTTTTTTTCCCTCTTGTTCCTTCTCCCTCGACTAATACCGTCCCGTAATGGGCGGCGACGGTCGAAATCGATCGTCACTGATCGATTTCGCGTGGTAACAGGGCGAAAACAACCCCCATCGATGGTACCGCCTGGTAGCAGGTGGTCCATGTACCGATCTGCTGGCGGACCGGTAAGTACCGCCCGGTATGTACTGCCCGGTACGAGCGGTATCATTCGAAATTAAAAACCTTGGGTCAAAGGGTGACAAACTCCAATAGTATGCTTTATATTGCCTGGGATTCTATCATTAAACCCGAACACGATGGGGGTCTTGGTATTAGGGATATAAATGCTATGGCCTATGCTTTGCAAGTTCAGAGACTCCATGGTTACTTGTATCATGGTACAGGTATTTCCTTAGAGGTGGTGAATACTAAATATGATAGGGTCTCTCCTTGGACTAAAGACTTTCCTAACAATTGCAGTTGATCTTGGAAGCTTTTCATTAAAGCCTTAAGCCAATTTAATACCTATTTCTCATATGTTATTGGGAATGGCTCTGATATAAATGTTTTCAGTGATCGTTGGCTTTTGAGATTCTTATCAATTTGAAAATTACCTACTTTTATATCAGATTGCTCTGCTGATGCCTCTTTATCTTACTTTATTTGTAATGGACAATGGAAATATGATCTTGTTTTGCATATGTTTGGACACACTTCAGCTACCTTAATCCAGAGCATTGACTTACCTAGTTCCCCTAGTGAGGACAAAATTGTTCAGCCACCTGATCAAAAGGGGCAACCATCTACCAAACAGGCCTATAACCAAATAATGAGCTTGGTGAGAGGTCTGCCTAATAGTCAATCTATATGGCTCACTTGTGGAAAATACCTGCTATTAATAGAACACTTGTTTTCTGCTAGAAACTCCTCCATTAGAGGCATCGGACCACTGTTCGACTTGCTAGATATGGCATTGTGAGGCCTCATGCTTCTTTCCTTTGTAATCGGTCGGAAGATGATCAAATCCATATCTTCTTCTCATGTCAGTTTGCTGGGAGGGTTTGGTCACTTCTAGAGCAGAAGCTGGAACTTGACTTCTTTATAGATTGGGTTAATGGCGCATGCATGAGTGACGGGCAATCTCTTACTAGGGAGTGCGCATGGCTGCTTAGAGCCATTATTGCTTATGGCCTGTGGTTGATCTGGAAGGGCCTGTAATGATCAGTATCTCAAACCAGTCTATTTGCTATTTTTGCGAAGATTTATGGTCCGGTGATGAATCATAGCCTCTTGACTAAATTTGAAGGGGATTACCCTAGGACAAGTCATGTTTTCATGCACTGGAATAGATCCGCTAATAGATGGCATGAATTGAATTCTAATGAGGCTTTTTGTGCAAATTAACAGAAAGGGAGGGGCTGGCTTCCTGATAAGATTGGGGGATGGTGCTTGTCTAATCGCAGGATGCAAATACATTGAGAAGGGTGGCAGGAAATACAATGAAGCAATTGTTGTCTTTGAAGGACTCAACCTGCAACAGGTGAAGGCATCAAACTTCGAGTTGAGGTGGATGATATGACTCTTGCTAGAGCAATGAACAAATAAGAAGAACCTCCATGGCATATTCTAAACTGTGTTAGATCTATTTGGAACTTAATATTATGTTTTGAGGACTCCAATATATCTCATGTTTATAGAGAAGCCAACAATTGTGCTAACTGGTTGGCTTCGAAAGCAAAAATTTTCTGGCACTTCCCGGCTTTGGAGGCAAAGTACGCCTCTTGAGTTGAGTAATATTTTGTGCTCTAACGAGCAGAGCAACTCTTGTTTTCTCATTTTGAGCTAATACAATGATCTCTATTTTCGAAAAGAAAATATAACATATATAATAGTTTTGTTTCACAGTACGATCAAATTCACTTTAACAAGCTTCAAGGAAGAAACAACAAAGAGAATTACCTCCTGATGAAGGTGGCGGTGGAACAAATGGAGGTGGTGGAGATAATGGAGGCGAATTAGGACAGGCTTTTGAAGCACCCGGGCCACATAATTGAGCATTATTTTGAAAACTGCAGATCAAACAAATATGATTTGTAATAACAATATCAAGGTAATAGCAAAACCAAAATGTTAAGAAAATAGCTAAAACTGCAAAGCACCTGATGGGAGTGAATTGCGAGAATGATCCATTCGATGGAACTTCTCCAGACAGCCCGTTGTTTGATAAATCTCTACATGTTTATTAACAAAAAAATTCATCTTATATTAGCAATTAAAATAACACAGTAGGCATAAATTGTTTACACAGACTACATCAACTTACAGAACTTGAAGAGCAATTATGGTGGTCAAAGATCCAGGAATGTGACCCGAAAGACTATTGTTGTTAAGCCGACTATCCTTGGACAAGAAATTCAAGAATAAGAAAAATGTAACTTACAAAGTTAAAAAGAACAAAAATAATATTGTAAATTTAATGACTGTTCATCAAGCTAACATCCGGCATAAAATTTCACAGATTAAAGGATGACCAATCAAAGGTTTTGTGTGATCTGCTACTGAGTTTCTAGCAACAGAAATTATGGGCAATAGTGGTGTAAGAAATTACAAAGAAAAAAGAGAGAGAAACAAGAAGAAAGTAACACCACCAGCAGGCAAGGTACACTAAGTGCCTCATAAAATTCATGTGCCGCTTCTATCAGTGACAACAAATTGACAAAAATACAACATGCAATTCTAAGAAACCTATCTCAACACAATACTCGTGAATACACTTCATTTTCATGAACCTGTTTTAATGCACAATCTCTACAACTAAAATTTCATGTGTCTGACAAACAAAGAGTCGAGTCCTCATATAGAAAACATTACAACAATTTTTGCGAATGAAAACATGGGAAATACTTTTTCAATTAAACTTTAGATACAACTTGACATATAACTAGAGTGCCTAAATCTTTCTCCAAATAAATTCAGTCCCAACAATCATGTTACAATACACTAATTTTCCTGAAAAGTTGAACACCCCTAACCCAACAACATATACCTAAAGTAGCATGCATACTACTCTCAATATTAGGCTCTTAAGCCAAATCCCAAAAAATACAAAAAATGCATCGCGTGAATGTTGTAGAATTTGTCACTTTAAAGAATAACCAATGATCAGACATAACAGGGACATGAATATATTATGCAAAGATCTGCTAGAAGGAACCAACACAATTTGATTTAGAAAAAAAATTCAGGAAACGAGACTTAGAAATTTGGCATTGCAAAATCAAATAAATAATGCTCCACAAAAGTGCTTTTGTCTAATATGCATGTGGAATAGAACTACAAGATGCAAAAGCAAAAAGAAGGAAGAAAGGAGGTAATTTAGTGTAAGGGATAGGAAAGGGCATACAGGAAACGCAGATTCTTTAGGTTCCCCAACGAATCAGGTATTTCACCGGTGAATTTGTTTAGGTACAGATCCAAGCTCACCAGATTCGTCAGATTTCCAAGGTCGCTAGGAATCGTGCCATTAATATTGTTACTGTAAAGTTCCCTGAAATTGGAAATACAGATTCCCTAAATGTCAGTACCACAATTCAGTAGCTAAAAGCACCAACTGAACGCATGAATATGTTCTAGGTAGAGAATCTGATTCTTACTATAACAGTTCCATTTTTAAATAACAACACAATTACAAAAGCCATTTGAGTCACATTTAATGGTCCAGATTCTCACGTATATTTCACCAAAAAAATCTGTTGTAAAACTTGTTTTTGCGGGCTGTTTGTCCACAATGCATCAGTTATTAATATCGCTTTCTAGCATAGGGGAATCCAAGTTCTGAAAACTTGAGGATGCACCCATGAAGATAATCTTTCAACAAGCTAGTCCAACAAATCAAAGTAATAAATTCACTCTTGCAAACAAGGGGTGTACCCAGTACACAAGGCTCCTGCCAACGCGGGGTCAAGGGGGGTCAATGTACACAATTTTGCCTTTAAATATTTATAAAGAGGTTATTTCTATGACTCAAACCCTGGTCTCTCAGGTAGCAAAGGATGCACCCATGAAGATAATCTTTCAACAAGCTAGTCCAACAAATCAAAATAATAAAATTCATTCTTGCAAACAAGGGGTGTATCAAGTACACGAGGTTCCCGCCAATGCGGGGCCAAGGGGGGTCAATGTACATAGCATTGCCTTTAAATATTTATAAAGAGGCTATTTCCGTGACTCAAACCATGGTCTCTCAAGTCGCAAAGGATACATCCATAAAGATAATCTTTCAACAAGCTAGTCCAACAAATCAAAGTAATAAAATTCACTCTTGCAAACAAGGGGCGTACCCAGTACACGAGGCTCCCGCCAACGCGGGCTCAAGGGGGGTCAATATACATAGCCTTACCTTTAAATATTTATAAAGAGGCTATTTCCGTGACTCAAACCCTGGTCTCTC